GAATCTGTGACGTCATCAAGCATGGGGGAGAGATCCAGACCTAACTTGGTACTTTACATTTCGTTCATGATTTTAATAGCGTTGCCTAAAGAGAACGTCGCATCTTGAAACAAATTAAATCTGAATGTGGAGAAGATACTATTGATATTTAACCGTTGGTCTTTCAGGTGATATATGAAACCTCTTCTTTTGAGCCCCATGACAGCTAACCTGACTGCTCCTGCCAACCGCGTTGCTGGTAAGTGATTGCCGGTAGGGATTATTGAATGTCCATTGGAAACTAAATGCAGTCAATCTTTCCAGCGGTCATTGTTACTCTACCCCTTAATAGACCAGAGAAGCTATGACACTGTATTCCCAACAACAAAAATGCTTACGTTCCAAATTGGGCGAATCGTTAGGATGATGAGATACGTCCCCGTTCCTGGCGACCGAGGAATTTCATGGATCTCTTAAGTTGCACTCTTCTGATATTCTTGGGCATGTCGAGATGATTCACTTGACGAAAAGACAGCATATTAACCATTAACCCAAGGCATAAGAGAACTAGTAATACATATGTTCCCTGGGGAGTGAAATGATTGGCCAAGTAACTTTTACTTTCCGGCCTGTTCAACTCGACAAGCAGATTCGTTGGGGTCTTAAAATCCCCCAAGAGAGGGTTTCTCGAACCTAACTCGAGGCTTGCGGATGCAAGAAGGGAAGTGGCTTGTTCCCGTGGTATATACGATTTTTGTTATAAAGTTTGAGTCCTTCCCTATTTGAAGCTCATTCGACGAATTTTGCTTAGAGAGATTGGATATAAAGATTCTGGTGGAAAGGCAAATTAAATAAGCAAATAAGATTGGTTTCTATGACGGGATAGCCATTACTCGTGGAGCGGTGGATGGGTAGCCAGATCTCCACGGCGTGATAGATGCTGCTAAAAACTTGGATAGCAAGTAGCTATGATATCATACGACAGTCGATGTAGAAGCAGAATTTACACGAACCGTACCAAATGCAACAATGAGACTATTGGATTAAAACAACATATTTATTACAAAACTCACCTCAGCAATCTCAGTCATGTCCATACAATATAACAACAGAATGTCTCGTAACGATCCAAAAAAAAAAAAAAAAAAAAAAAAAAAAAAAAAAAAAAAAAACGAGAAGCCACAATCATCTGCTAACTCCTCCACAATCTAGCCATGGAATCCGTCGTTGATGCTAACGTAGAGTACAAATTCCCATGTCCTAAGAAAAGTGGGGTTCTGGTTTCCACAGTAAGCCCGAAGTGATCGCCAATATCATGTCGCCCGGAAGAGGGTGGATGATATGACGGCGGTGGAAAGTGGTGACCTCCCAAGCCAAGGCTCGCCACAAGGTACGCACAGAATCTCTGTTGACGACATGGACGGAGGCTAATCTCTTTCCCCCACGCATGAAAAACAGGGGTGCAAGAGATTTTGATCTGGCGGATCTGGAAAAAAGTCTCCTTTTATTCACACTTGCGCCTACTAAAACGAAGGAAACAAAGGGGACGAAGATGGTCACCCCCCACCAACCACTGAGCTGCCTTCCTTCAAGCAAATGGGCGTGGATCGGTCAGGCTCGACATGATACCGGGCGACGGTGCAGACGGACTGACAGGAATGCTTGTTATCGAATCCAAGACGTACGACTTTACCTACAATGCGACGCAAAGAGTTTCCTTCGCAACTCTCGGACAGCCCACGGTGCAGACCATTACGGACCTGGTTTCCCGGCTAGGCCGAGATCGATATCGATTCACGGAGAACGAGGAGGGTTGTAGATACTGGATCTACACTTTTATCTCTGACCTCGAGGGTGCTGACATTGTTGCCGCCGGTAGCAAAGGTGAAGCCTGGAACTCGCTGTCGGGATATTGGTTGCATCCACCGGGCAGCGGGTCTGACGCGAGAGCGGTCGACGAGGGAACTTTCCTTTAACTATATTGTCAGTGTTGGGGTTATTCACAGGGTCGCATAGTGGAGCCATCGGAACGTGGCGCTGGAAACCTCCAAGCCCAATTTCGCTGCCACAAGTTTACCGCTATTGTTTTACGATTCAGATCTTTCCCAGTGTGCCGACTTTTTTCATTCGTTAGATGTGTATGTCAGTTTCACAATGCAACAATTGTTCAGGCTTCGACATCCCTACTTCTACTATCGTGTTGTATTGAAGATAGATGTTATGATCCTGTAAGCGCGGTTTGCAAGGCAAATACAACCAGAACTTGGTTCTTCAATGCCCCAATCTTTCCCTTCCAATTCAATTCCAAGGACAGTTACTCACATGCATTTAACCAGCTCACACTCCATCCTGTAGCCTTCGCTTTGCTGGATCACTTCCGGCTTCCCGTCCCGAGCAACTGATCCGCAACACCCGGGTCCATCCCGCCAGTGGTATCGATCCTCGCGAACCCTGGAGGCGAGATGCAAATCACATCCCTGGCTTTCTCAAATGGACCGCGTTGGAGGGTGCTCCGTCCAAGAGAACCTCGTTCTTCCGGCCAAGAGGGAATCGAGTGAACCGAGGCCTGATTTCTTCAAGGGCTTCGGGCTGTTTGGAGAAACATCCAACTCAGATCCAGGAGAATGTTTCCCAGCACAGCCTACCTACCCACCCCCAATTTTCTGATACAGAGAAGTTATGCATGGACGAATATTCGAAGTAAGTCAGATAAAAACCTGAGGAGTCCCAATCCAACAGTCAAAGGCGGCGTTTGTCATCGAGAACCACGTTTCTTGGAGCGAGATCGTGGTGTGTGAAGACCAATGGAGTTTGAGGCTTTGAGCGAAATTCTTTCTTGGGCTGTACGCAGGCTTTTCGCGTGACAATGGAACAAAGTTAAGCCAAAAGCGGATGAACGCTGGAATAGCTTCTGGACGAGCATGGCAAGGAAGCTTATAAAAATCCTCCAGCCAGAAAGACCGACACATCCCAGTGGAGAGAGATCCGGCGGTGGAAGACGTCACCTCTCTCATCCGACGCACGAACCGGCGAAGCTGAAATGCCAGACGCAGAGCCGTAAGCCAGCCAAGGTGCTTCCAGGCTTCCTCCAAAGTCTGCCCATGAATCCGCTCCATGATGATGTAAAAGTCGTTGTCCCTCTCGACCGTCCGTCTGATGCAAGGCACCCTGATCCCAAGTTGACCTGCACACGCCATCGCCTCAAGCACGTCCACTTCCTCCCCCCGCGAGTAGTGTTTTGCTACTAGGTTCTGGGACAGCAGAGACACGTTCAATGAGAGCTTGCATGATTCGACAATGTGGCTGACCAGCGTCGCACTGTCGTACTGCGAAAGGCACTTTTCATCGATCTCCGCATCCACCCATCTTCACAGAATCGTTCTGCGCCTCTCTCTGTACTGAGGTGCAGCTCCGGAAGTCGAATTTCCACTCGGAAAGATGTTCAAACAGGCTTTGGACAATAATTTCAAACAGCGCAGGTTCCCACAAAAGAGAACAGGAAGGTATAGCAAGTAAATACGCAGCTCAAGAAGATGGCAGCGTGGTGTGTTGAGGTGGTGCGGGCGACGCAAAAAAGAGCTGTGATTCCAAGCCAGTATTAGCCTTGCTTTTTTAGTGCCAAGCCTACGCCTTCGGCGACTAGTTACTCCGACCTCCGGCCGGAGCGCCATCGCCCCCGAACGGGGTTGCTTTAGTTACTAAGACTGATTGATTTTATCATACCAGCCATCACTCCCCTTCATGATGTACGATCGCTGTTTTTAAGACTTTGTTCATTTGGAAACCTGAACATAGTTAAATATGTGGGCTAAGCTCTAAAGATGTAGGTTGTACTGTGCAATAGATTTACAAATCAAATGAAAGGCTTTCATATTTTAGATGCGGTTGTTCCATTCATTGTCTGTCATCAGCGATTGTTCGCATTAATTCCACCTCTTTGTGGTTCTCCAATTCAAAGTACTAAACTTTTACTGCATATCCTTTTCTTCCTCCATGTACTCCCTGCTCGATGCACCTACTCCTTCCAACCCGGACCCGTGGTGTTTCCCACGTGGCTGGCCATCGTGATGCAGTTGTGCGGAAGTTTCTCCCCAGACCGGTTGGCCAAGGCCCCTATTCAATTCCCGCGAGTCTGCACCCCCAAGTGCATCGATGGCTGGGGTACCTTCTTCCGGTGCCTGCCCAGAAGGGTGAGGAGCAAATGTTCGATCTGAAGGCGCGCTACCAGCGGGCAGCGTTTGTGCATGGAATTCAGGAACGTAGTCTGTTGGGGACGTTTTTGTTCCGGGTTTATGCTAATTGATTTGGAATCATTTATTACTGCAATAGCCTAGCAAGGCGGGATCTCTTCAAGGGAACACTTACACCATGCTTCTCCAAGGGGGGAGAACGGGGAGCTGACGGGTGAAATCCACCCTGGGTAGTATTGATGGATTCCGAATCGCGTGGTGCAGACATGACGCTTTATCTCCGTTGAGCAACGATGACAGTGCAATGGGATGGATGCAACCAGCAGTTATATCGAAAGTTTCCTCAAGATCTCTCCATTATCAAAGAAGTGTTCATATGGGCCAAGAAATATATATATTGGCCTACCTCTCAAAATTGCCTCTTAAATGAACCTGGAATCGAAGTTGCTATGACATCACGGCTATGTCATATATAGGATTGGCTGCTTTGATGGTTTTGTAAATCATAAATACCGCGCGATCCAGGTAATTCTATGAGGATTTAACTTAGACATAGCGCTTCGGTATCTCTATGGTGAGTATCTTCAGGTATGGCTATAGGCTGTTCATTGTTGTGTATCAGTCGGATTCCTTGAAAATCTCACACGTTGCCCTCCCAGGCATGTAATCATACACACTTTTTGACCATCACGATTCAAAAGAATTGGCGGAAGTATTGCGATGAATGACCCAATATTTAGAAACCCTTTAAAGAGTACCCAGGTACAATAGCATGATAACATACCAAAAATCCGCGAGAGCTCACTTTAATTAAACAATCATGTGGTATTTCTCGGATAATATTCCCAGCTTCTGGAAGCAAGGATGTGCATTGACGGGGAGAGATTCCGAGGAGTCCGGATATAAAATCGTTAGAACCTTGAAGAATTAGAATTGATAGAGGGGGTAAATTCTTCGACTAAGACGGGAGTGTGAATTTGTATAATTGGGTTACAATTTTCATGCCTTTGAAATTAAACAGGCTTGATACAACTGGAGACTTCGATCCGAAAACGAATACGGGGGTACGGTGCAACTGTGAGCGTTTTATGTGTGAAAAAGAAACCATAATAATTTAGTGGTACTCAAATACCTCCTTCTGTCTGTCAATACACCTTGATACGAATATCAAGAACGGCTCAAAAAGAGTCAAAGAGCGACATGTATGTTCTTCAGGCATGCTATGAGGAAGTTTATTTCAGCCATCCTGGTGGCGAATGGTTGCTTCGAGTTCTATGACCATCTGGATGACGCGGCGGCTTCTAGGTGCAACAGTGAAGAAAAAAAGCTTGAAGCACAAGATATTGAGGAAATAAAGATGTATAGTAAGACATAGAGAATGGCGCTATCACTACTCGTAGTAGTGTCGAAAGGGAGAATGAGATATGCGGGTTAAGGGCGGCATGTTGTTCTCGTCGGATTGAGCCGAGGAGATACTCGTTGACAATGTATAATTGATATTATCCATTCGCTGCTAAATTTTGATCACCTCTCTTGGTCCATCTCATAAATGTTCCCTCCTGACTGCCTTGGGAACGCATGTTGGGAAGCATCCGCATCCCACGCTGCTGTAAGCTTCTTCACCCAATCAATCCCGGAGTCCCACCAAATATGGCGCTGTGGCATCCCAACCAACTGAAGACTTCCATTGTTCAGGGTTCCTAACCCGAGATCCATGAGAGTCTCCGATCCAGCCTCCTCAAAGGCTGCAAAGGAAATATTAGTCGACATCGGGAACAAAACGTTGCCATACTGATTTAGAGGAAGAAAAATAAGCCAAATAAGTTTGCTTCGTCATTTCGCACGGGTGAACAAGTTGGTTGCCAGTAATATCGATCCTTGCGCCGTTTGGCTGGCTGACAGGAGCAAAGGAACCACTTGAATCATTCCACCGGTGAAGCAATGGGAAGATTATGAACTTTTTCGGGCATATGTTCCAAGACTGAACGGGTACCCCTGAAGCGCTTCGACAATCGCTACAGTAATCAAAACATATCAACGGGATTTTAACATCGGGTTGTTCCGGTGGGTGTTGAGG